TATTCAATTCTTTTACTAAACAGTGCCATGTATTCTGCAAACAATCCAAAGTAACATTCTTAACATGCTTTGAGCATTGTGATAAAAATTTGTTTAAGTGGTGAGAAATGTCCTCCCGGGTTTCAGTCTTTGTTTAGTGTGTTGAGCTTAAAACCAACAAGAAAAAAAACCAAAACAAAAAAGCCATCGAGTTGTTCTCAAATAGAAAACATGAATGTGAAGGCACGCTCCCCACTAGGAAGCTGGCTAACTGAAATGGTTTTCCTTTGAGCATGCCCTTTTAAGGACACTAATTGACACTTCAGTCACATTTAAACAATAATACAAAAACACTTCAACAACCTTTAATTATTTTTTTTTGGTCCACGTTTCTGTGGTTGTCAACCATATTCTTTTCATTCAGACTGTGATGTGTATCACAGACTTGTAAAGGCCTTACTTGCTGCAAAAGTAACTTTTTTCTGTTTGCCACACATTGGATATAAAGCCCTGGAGTGAAGTTCAGTAACTATTTGTATCACACACATCACCTGATATTTTGCTAGACCTGTAGCAGTTAGGCAGTTATATTTTTCACACTGTTGACAGCCAGAATGACAAAATTTAGAGCCAATTCCTTAGAGGTAGAATTAGAATTGAATAGCTCATGAAACAGGAGGAAATGTAATCCTTTGAGTACAAGACCTTTAACTAGCAAGTTTTGAAGTTCAAAGCAAATACATCTACACTTTTTGCATTTTACTTTTAGGAGCCAATCTTCTTTCATTTGCCTGATTTGATAATAGGGCTACAAAGATGGTGAAGGGCCTAGAGGGGAAGCCATAGGAGGAATGACTGAGCTCACTTGGTCTCTTCAGCCTGGAGGAGACTGAGGGGAGGTCTCACTGCAGTTACAACTTCCTTGTGAGGGGAAGAGGAAGGGTAGGCACTGGTCTCTTCTCTGTGGTGACCAGTGACAGGACATGAGGGAGTGGCCTGAAGTGTCAGGGGAGGTTTAGGCTGGACATTAAAAAAAGGCTCTTCACCCAGAGAGTGGTTGGGCACTGGAACAGGTTCCCCAGGGAAGCGGTCACAGCAGCAAGCCTGACGGAGTTCAAGAAAAATTTGGACAATGCTCTCAGGCACATGGTGTGACTCTTGGGGCTGTCCTGGGCAGGGCCAGGAGTTGGATTTTAATGACCCTTGTGTGTCCCTTCCAGCTCAGAATATTCTGTGATTCTGTGATATTGTTTCAGGGATTTATATTTTTTTTTAGTATAAAATTGATTTTCCTATATTCTCATGAATAATATTTCAAGAGAAATCTCTAGTAAGAAATTTGACTAGCATTTTTAACTTACCAGAAGTTAGAGTCCTATATGTAAATTTGATTTTTAAAATAAAATTTTATTTAACTATTTCCACTATGAAAAATCAGACTCACTTTTCAATAAAGCACTTAAGAAGCTAATTTATCCACTCTATAAATGTAATTCCTAATCATATTGCTGATTTTAAGTTTTTACAAATATGAAAAATGGAAAGATGCAACCATTTAATTTATTGTCTTACCTTCTGTGTAAACTCAGAAAAAATAAGGAGTTCCACATCTGACTTGTAATGACATGCGCACCTTCCAGTTGGAGGCTGCAATTTCTCTCATGCAAAGAGAGGAAGTCAATATTTATTTTAGGCCTCAGTTCAACTGATGCAAATCTCATTCATCTGGATCTCAGGTGAGAGAAGAGAGTTCAAGAGAGAATCAAGCTCTAACTTTAAGTTTGGGGCAGTCAGCTGTGAGAGAAGGAAAAACCCTGAGAGGAAGACTGTAAAGCTCAGCACCTTCCAGCTGTAACCTTAAGGCTGCAGAGTCAGGCTCCCCATCATTCTCACCAGGAAGTCTCACCAGCAATTTTTGAGACATTGTTTGATGCTGCCATTTTCTATCCTTCGTCTTCTGTGGAACTGTTACTCTGTTTGGTCATGTACAGAAATGGACGTGCTCTGTTCCAAGGCACTTGGAGTCCCTGGAGGTTCCAGGGTCCCATCAAAACATCAGAGCTAATCGATTTAAGGCATTTCCTAGAAAATATAGCTTATTGAAGCCATTTTAGAACAAGTTCAGTTCTTTTTAAGTCTGCTCTTGAATGAGGTTCTTGATTAGAGTTCTTTCTATTCATTAAATCTTCCAGATACATGTTAGATTGTTAGATATCTGTCAGGTATATTAGGACCAGTTAGAAAGAACAGGCCGTTTCAAGGGCAGGGGAATATGTCTGTGCCTACTATTTTATAAAATGTTAGTGGTCATTATAATAGCAATGTCTGCTGTGATGGTGGAAGAAGGTTTTGAGAGAGGATCTTTCAGCATTTCAATCGTTCAATGTCTATAGTTCATCTCTATATTTCATCAATAAATTTCATCTGTATTCTGATTAAACTGAAAACATATAGTTATTTTCTGTGGTGTACAGAAATGTCTCCTTCATGAAAGCATTGATTTTTTTTCTCCAAATTGTTTACCTCTGAAAAACTTTAGTTCTTAAATTGAGATCATTACACTACAGGATACAGTATATGCTTTTCACTTTGTAAACCAAGGTTAAATTAAGTAATGTAGAAAAATATTGACTAATGGGATGATACTGAAGACATCATTTAAATAAAAATAGACTGGTGACTTTGTCATTTTATATTATTCAGTTTGAGACACTTTGAAATAAACTCATAATGATTTATTGGTTTTCAGCAGTTACAAGACATTAAGGCTGTTTAGAGCTTTTTTGTTTGTTTTGAACACATAATAACAAAACGATTGATTACTTTAGTATCAACATCCTGAACCTGCTCTGAATTCTTTTAAGAGGTGATGACTAGGTCCATAGCTGCAGTGATCTTTGCTGTTGAGAAGTTAATATTTTATTTGGTAAATATAATAGACAATACAGATATTGTTCAGTTCTGTTCTTTCCCATCCAAGTGAGATCCTTCTCAATTCAATCTTCTTTCTACTATTTCAGAAGACAGCTCTTCACAATACAACTGAAACCTCAGTTTGGAGAGTAGGATCCACTATGCTGACCTTTCTTGTGAAAATTAAAAAATTTATTTATGGTAGAGATTTGTCACAGCATGTCAATTACACTTTTAAAATTCAAGCATCTAATAGAATTGTATGTTTGCTAGTACTATGGTATTCATTTCTACAATTCCATTTGGAAGTATTTTTTCTATGTACTTTTTAACCATGGAGTAAGAATGAGTGAAAGTTGGACAGGTTTCAGCCTTCTTTATTTTAACATTTATTAAAAGACTCATGTTTGAAAGGCATCCAGACATAAGGATGAATGGATTTTTAGGCATCTTAAAAATAAGTACCCTATTTAGTATAGATTTCTGTATTAAGATAATATTTAGGCAAAGTAAAAATCTCTTTATGCATATGGAATAACATCTCATCATTCTCTCTGAGCTCAAGGCGTTTTTAATGACTTACTTCACTTTCATCTGTTGTGAATTATGTTGGATCAGTTGTATTGCTATCAAATTGCTTTCCCTTTAGAAAGTAATGAGGCAGTAGAAGATGTATTTGTGGATTTTATATTGGTGAGAGAAACTAAAAAAAATTTTAAAAAACAGAATGGTTGAAAAGTAACCAAAATTATTACTCTCTTTCTGCTGCTTTCCTAGCATTTTCCACAACCCACATAGGTAGTATAGGCACTGATTTCCAAAAGTGTAGGTTTATGACTTGCCATATCTTTTTCCCATTAATTTTTCAAATAGTTCCACTAGAAATTGCCAGCAGAACAATAGCCTTGATCCCACACATGATGGGAAGCAAGATCCTGTTGAAGTGTGGCCCGTTATTTATGCTCTTTGCAGGAGCACATTTTTCTTTCTTACATTTCTACCTTGCTCCAGTATGATTTCTCGCTGAGTATGACTTCATCCTCTGCTTCAGTGCTCATGTACAAAATGACATTTTCTTAAAATATAACACCTGTTTCCCTCTTCAGTGTGTGTACTGTAAATTAGATCAGAATTTTGTCAGTAACCCTCAACGACCAATGATTCTGGAAAAATATTTAGTTGTAATAATGAATGCTATTTTTGGTGTGTAGCTTGGGAGCTGTTGCTCCATATTTATGAGGTTGTTTTAATTGATTTTAATATAATTTTGAAAAAGAAACAGAGTCTATCTAAAAGTTAATGTATTTCTAATTAAAGTAAATTTCATTTGACTTAAAATTCTTTTGCATTAATTACCAAACTTGGATTTCAGATTATTTATGAGATGCCAAATTATTTGATAGGGATCCAATGTATTTTCATTTCTTTGTGACAGAGGAATGCCCTGAGTGATTTACAACCTTTGATATGCATTCAGAGTATTTGTTGGCATCAGTCAGCTGAATTTATGTGCATGAAGTGGGTTCTGAGTACTGATGTTAGTGTCTTTTGGTCTTCATAATTTTTAGCTCTAAGACAAGTTGTGGTAATATCATTATTAAACCTTTTAACCTGTAGAAGCTATGAAAATTGATTAAACCAATGAAGATTTACATAATTACTGAAATCCACTCTGACACATTCAATTCTTATGCCTGAACCATTCGACTGTGTCTCGTGTGTGCACTGCATAAAATATACACTACAAGGAAATCTTCTGTGTCTATTTTTGTGTCATCCCAATCAAGGAAATTGTAAAGTAGCTATATCTGACACCTTCCTAGCTCTCTGTTGAGTGTGTTAATGATTTTGGAAGTACACAAAGTATCCATGGGTTCCCTTCAGTAAATGTTCAATAAGAGTGCACAAATGTATACACTAGCATGCAGTGAATATACCTCTGGATGTAGAGCACCATACTTGGTTGGTTGACTAAACTCATTAAGTTAAATTAATTTGGTGGGGTTTATTATTTTTTTAATGCATGATTTATATTACTTTTATTATTATTTCTGCATTTTCTCTCTCCCCCTCTTTTTGTTTTACATATTGCTTTCATTTGTTTATAGAAGAAAAGAAAGCAGATCCAGAGAATGGGGATACAGGTAGGGTGACTTATTCCAAATATTTTTGTGGTTTTGCCCTTAATTTCTTTGATCTATTATGTTTAAGCAAATGTGTAGCATCGAGTTGGATCCCAATTTTGATATATTTTGGGGATTTCAAGATAGACAGTAGGAACTGGAACCTTTCTCAAATGGATTTCCTTTGCTTTTTTAAGGGAGTAAAATTAGGGTGAGATATGGGATGAACAAGCCAGAACCAGCTAAAGAAGGCTGTCATACACTTTAAGACTTCTGTCCAGTCCTTCCCTCTCCAGATACAGTGTGCTCACTCCACACCTCCTTTTTCTTCTCTGTTACAGGTTTTTGATTTCCAAAATTTTAGTGTTTATTTTTTCCCTTCATCACTAGTTTTTTCTCATGCCTGAGTGGCTATGCCTCCCACATTTTGTATCCCTTTTGTCCATATGTATCCAAAACTAAATCTGTCCTAATATTATAGGAGAAACTTCACTCTACTTCCATTCCCCAATTTCCCTTTTACCCTCTGTGCCCCAGAAGCCTCACTGTACAGCAGACTCCTCTAAACACATCACCATCATCAGCATCTATAGGAGCTAGAATGGTTTAATAACTCCATCTGAAGAAAACAAAGAGAGAAAGAATGAAAGAAGTCCCAGCTATTTTCATTTTTATTTTTTAAATATGTAGGTTTGCCTTTGGCTGAGCTGGGGGTTAAGGACAGTTTGTTGTCCCTTTTGTTTCTGCTATGGATCACAGGCTACCAACTGAAAGGTCTTACCTGTCCTGGAGAGTAGCCAATGTTTTACCTGAAGAGCAAATAACAGTCTTTAGCTCCAGGCTGAATTGAGAGATTGCTTATCTCCTTGTAAAACTGTGATCCCTGAGCAGTAGAGGTCAGAAAAAGTTAGGTATTAACCAAATTACTGATTATAGCCCTTTAACATTTTTAGCATGAAACAAAGGAGGAAAGCTTTAATGGTGAAGTAGTTGAATCTTATCTTATTTTCAAGCTAAAACATGAAAATAATGGTTTTTATTTGAAGCTGGAGCAGTGATTCCAGTACCTGCCCTGAGTCCTGTTGTAGGAATGGAATTATACAGCCACCACCTAGACCATGGCAGGAATTATGCTCATGTCACCTCAGTAGGGCTTGTCCCTAGGTTCCACCAATGAAAGAATCAGAGTTCCTTCTTTTACTATGTTTAATAGGCAATAGTAGTTAGAGCTTGAGCTGAGTGCCACCTGTTGCTTGTTACTGACTTTTATAGTCTCTGTGGGTGGCTTGATTTCCTGATGGCACTTCTGCTCATCCAATCCTGCTTGTGGCATCTGGAGTCTTCTCTTCTGATTTGCTCCTAAAACCTTCAGGCCACCTTTTTGTCTGTGTCTTGAGACGTTTCCCTATCTTTTGTTACAGGATATCCTGTAGCTAAAGTTGTAATTATAATCCTTTGTCTACTGGTTACATTTCCATAGATAAAAACAGAGGTCAAAGTGCAATTCATGTGGCCTAAGGTTTCATTTACAGCGGTCACTAGAGCTAAGCTCCGGCACAACTTAGTCTCTCACTACAGTTCTTGTGGATCTGAGGGCAGGTTACAGGGCTGCTGTGCACAATACTTAGGTGTTTTACTGTGGCATTTCAGGATTGGTTTTGCACTGTAGTTATGCTGCTTTCCCTCAGCACACTCTTCTGGAAAGATGGAGAATGGCTAATAATGAATCAGCAGCTGTCTCTCTGTCAGCCAGGAATTTCCTTGTGCCCATGAAAACTCCACTGAACCAACCTTCAGGCCATGGCTTTTTAATATTAGAGAGTTATTCAAAATAAGCAAAACTCCAGCATATTGCCTACAGTGCAATTATCCCAGTTATGTTTGGTGAGCAACACCAGGCTTTTTTCTTCCATTCAGTCTTTTTTATTTCTTTGTGTTCCTACGGCTGACATTTGGGTGTGTCACTGGATATTTCTGTTGGAGGTACAGCTACTGTTTAGAAGAAAAATTCTGGAAGGAAGTTAAGGCAGAAATGTACAAATGAACTCATTTTGCCTGGCCAAAATATGTACTTTGGTACCTGATGACAGTACATCAATATATCGGAAGTAGCTTTAATTTTTCTAGTGTCAGTCTCTGTAGTCCTGAAAATATTGTGCTGGGCTCTAGCTTAGGATCTGAATAACGCAAGGGCTCAGTCAGCCCTTGTGTTATTTAGATGTGTGAAAACTTATGCTGCTACATTTTCACCATTGTTGATACTCAGTGGCTAGATTCAGGTTAGTTCTATTTTGTCTACACATGCTCCATAAACAGCTCCTGATTACAGAGAGGTCCTTATGATAGGACTGATGTTCAGCCTTGATTACCAAACTCATGGGAAAAGCTGAATGCACACAGAGAGTTACTGAACTCTCTAGAAGAATTTTCTGCCTCTGCTAAATGTCCTCACATAGGTTTCAGTAGGCACACATTTCCCAGCAGAAGTGGAGCAGATGATAGCCCTGCATTTGCACCATTTAGTGCAACATGAACCACGTGAGTGGGAAGTGCCGTGACATTCTTTCAACCTTTCCTATTGCCATCCAAATCATGGCTGCATCTGGCTTAAATTACAGTGAGATCTGCCCTTGGCACACTTTCTGCATGGCAGTTCCTTGTACAGTAGAACCACAGCTGATCTTCTGCATTATGAACTTTCCACTGCCCTCAGATTTTCCTCTTTTTTGCTTATAACTGAATTCACTCACTTGCTAAAAACAGTTTCAAAAATGCAAAGCAGGTTAGATTTTCCTTCAATAAGATTTTATGGGAATAGAACAATATTTTTTCAAAATTCTTCTGTCTTGTTTTTTCCTGAGACCAAAATAAGCCACAAATTTTGTTTGTTTTGCTGCAGAGGACTCACCAAGGTCTTATGTGTAATGCTCCCCCTTTGAATGGCATATTTCGGAGTGGTGGGTTTTGCATATTATAGGCAATTGGATTTCTGAAAATCTAGCTTTCACTTTGCCAACTGAACATAGATAAGAATGGATATTTTCTCAAGTAATTGTGAAATTTCAAATTTACAATCAAGAAGTGCTATTTCATCACTTCTTGTAATTTCCTGAAATTTAGCAGGATGTCTGGTGAAAAAGAACACATTGGATGATTTAATAAGAAAACATAGCAAAAATTGACAATATTTCCTTTTTGCACAAAAATCTCCTTTCTTTACATTATTGAAAAATGCCAAGTGAATTTGCAGAATGTTATGACAAAAAAAAAAAACAAAAAAAGCAAAAGATGACTTCTTTATTTGAGCAGAGGTTAGGATATTTTACTTCACAAAAATCTTATATCTTACTTCTGTCATTGAAAAAAAGAAAATATCATTTTCTGGTGTAAAGTTGTTGTTTTTAAGAGAAAAAAAATTTATCTTTAGAGCTTTTAAAACTCCATCCTAAAGAAGTCACTTAATCATAAATTGACAAATACTGCTATGGAGTAAATAACAGTCAAGGAAAATTGTGATAGGAAAAACTAGATGTATTTTATTTGAGGAATTTTCATTTACTGCTCTCTTTTCCATTTTATTTCTCCCTGTAAAATACCATTTCTTCTTTTTAATTAATTTTTCTTTTTTTTTTTTTTAATTTCTCTTAGAATTTTTGATGAGGTCTTTTCATTCATGTAGTTGTGGGGAGTAAGGATGGGGAGTTAGAATACAAAAATCAGAAGCCAGAGGGTTTATAGGGAACAGTACAATTTAGTCTTTTTGCATTCCCACTTCCTTTGACCTTCTCTCCTTTCAGATTTCCTATGAGGTGCCCCAACACTTATCTGGCAGCTCTCATAGTATTTACTACTACCTTTATTGTTCTCAAGAAAAGACAACACAAAGCTCAGAGGCCCTGCATCGGTCCTGTGCAGAGCCCCACTTTACTATTAGACTGTGACTTACAACTGAGGTTTAAAGTTTAAATCGGGTTTATTGGAATCTAATATTCCCATCTTAGTTTCATATGTACAATCCAGACTGTTAAATACATATATTTTACAGCAGTTTCCATTTATGACTAGTGGGATTGTGAAATTTTAATCCTAAACAACTTTTGTGTTAAAATTATGGAAAGTTTAAGGCAATGTCAGTCAAAATGAGTACTTTTTAGCATTCAGTGTATAATGAACTATTCTTGACTTATACCATGTTAAAGTGGAAAAGAATCAAACCTGTGTGTGTATAATCGCTACCTATATTTTGTTTGAAAATCTCTTCTGAGGGGTTGTCTTCCTCTTATTTTTCTTCTTCTCGGTTTTCCACTTCAGCTTTGGCACTTCCTTATTATTTTATACAGTAAATCGTGGTGTTTCAGTACCACTTGGTTGAAACCAGCTGCTGCCTGAGTCATGTAGTAAGAACCAAGCCCTGACTGAAACTAATTCCATATTTGATCCAAGAATGAATCCTGAAATCATTCTTGCAGTTGTGTGTCATTAGAATATAATACAGTGATGCCACTGGGTGGCTCTTTAAGATTCTTTTAGACATGTCTAAATAGTTTTGAGCATACTAAGAATATACTCCAATAGCAAACAGAAGGTCTACTAGTCTGTGGTTGTCACTTGACTAGTAATTTGGTATGTCACACTATAGTAAATGAAGAACCAGGATCTGCACCCAAATAAGCACGTTGTCTTTGCATTCCTTTTTATTAAATGAAAGACTCAATTTCTCTTAATTATTTTTGAAATAGTAAAATTACATTCTGTGGAAACATTGTATATTTAGTTTTCCACAAAGTTGCTTTCATTTGAATTGTGTAGATAATACAACATTTATTTAGATTCTGCTGAAATACTTATCTGATATTTTCCTCCTGTTACAACTTTTTAGTTTTCTGCAAAACTGTACTTCAGAAATTAAAATTGTATACACAGAATTTAAGTAAATCAAATTTCATCTTTCTGTTAAAACTTCCATAAACATAATTTTAACACTGGAATTGAGGACTGTTTGTGTATTTATTTTCTTCTTTTTTTTTTTTTTTTAACTTAACAGGTGCAATGGATGTAGAAGAAAGGAATCGCCAAATGAAAATGAGCAAGTACAAACAGGTAGCAGGATCAGATTCCAGGCTGGAACAAGATTATCATTCTAAGGCAAGGGAGTTTTGTTTTGAAAAGCGAAAAAATATGCTAAACTGAAATATCCAACATGCTTTTAAGAAAGTAATAGATGAGTGGCAGTTTTTTCTTCAGTAAAAGTTTCTTATGTGTCTAAAATAAAATTTTTGGAAATGTGCAGCAAAGCAGTACACAGTGTTCTTGATTATTAAAATTTAAGAAGGATAAGTTAAAGCAAATTAAATAGGCAGTGTAATTATCCATTGAAAGGAACAATAGTTCCATGATTTAAAAACTCAAAGAGAAGTAAAAAAGATGTTTATTGAGTGACAGATGGGAATGAGAGCTATTGAAACTTTTTCATGGCTTTCATATAGTTGAAAAGAGAGTTTTCTTGATCTATTGAAAACTGGAAGATGCAGTGTTACTTAGTTACTTGTTACAATTAGCACTTGGAAAGGTATTTTATGCACCAACAAAACCTTTCACCCCAGCTGTGGCAGTTTTCCAAGAAGCTGAATCTCTATGTAGTAGTATAACCTTAAATATACTGTCCAAATTTTCCTGCTATCTGGAACAGGGTCATGTCATATAGAGTATGTTAATTAAAATAATCAAGGTATTTTCAATTTAAACTTCTATTATGCAAAAATAATTTAGTGTCCTCTAAAAGACTTCATTAATTGAGGTCAGACTGTAAGTGGAAAACATGAGACTTCTGACCTATAAAAGCGAGTTGAGGAAGAGAAGTCTCTGTTTCAGACTTTTATTTCCAAGATGTAATTCCTTGCTCCCAGTATTGGCAAAGCTACTGTAAAATGAGAGATTTCATATTTTAAGGCAAACAAATTTTCAAATTTATTAAGTATTAATAGTTTTGAAGAAAATGTGACTAATAGCCTTGTTATAATTACTTTTTAGAATATACATTTCAGTGTGGGAAAATAGAGGAAGAGGTTTAGCAAAGTCCATTTCAAAATAGAAAACCCTCTTAATGAAAAAAAAAAATTGACCAAAAAACCCCCAAACTGTGAAAAGGGGTTAAAATCCTTTAAAACTCTGTAGATGTGCTGCATGATTATTTGGGTTTTTACATTTGTAGTTTTTACTACACAAGGCACAAGAATGTTTATTAACATGGTGGAGGGACTTGGTATACCGTCATGTTTAGATATTTCTTTAATTTTGACAACTATGGCAAAATTATTTTCATGTGTTTCTATATTGTGGGCTTTGAAAGGTGTTACCTTTTAGAGATGAGCATAATACTGTGAAGCAGACCTTATCGTGAGTGTTGTGATTGTATGTACCACAAAAATATGACTTTATGTATCGTATGTATAACCAGATTTTAATTTAATCTGCTGATTTTCCTGCTCCCTCTATGCTTGACTGACATTTGAGTCAGAAGTAGGACTGGTGTGGAGTAAATGGGTTCTCATGTGAAGGAGCTGGATAGAATATAACTACCTAAGAAAATATTTACTATCTTTGTTTTTCCATTTCACCTACACCATATTATTGGGCCTCACTCTACATATTTTATAATTTTAATTAAAATTTTAATTTCAGTATTATTGGAATGTATTAAAGAGAAAAATTATAAATGGAATTATTTTATGAATATGGTGATTTATTTATTGCATACATCAAACAAAATGTCTCCAGAAATAAACAGTTAATTTACTCTTCTGCCAAAGTGTAGTTTCAGTATTTGAAAATGAGTCATTTATTCTATCAATGAACTTGTGGAACTAGACACTGAGTATTTGCATATATGTATTAATTCAAAATGCATTCTTAAAATTGTGTAGTTTTAAAGTCATATGAGAACCATAACTCTCTTAAGCATATGAGAGTTCTGTCTTCACCTTTTTTACTACCACTGCTTCAATTCCCCTTAATTAAGTTCTCATATTATCTAGAGGCAGAAAAATGAGTAAGTACAATTTATCTATCTGGCTTCTACAAAAATTCTTCTGGAATCGGGAACTGAAACACATATGTCAAATACTGACTGAAATCTCATGTTCTGTGCAGTATACAGTGACTTCGATTTTTTAAAGCTGTCAACTGGCACAAGCAGGCAGTGAAGCATGCCACACCTGAGAAAAATGTCATTAAGTAGACATTAGGCACATTCGGGAGAGCTAGCACATGGAATTTGCTTTTACCTTTCTGTGCTATAATTTTTTCTTTAAATGGAAATCAACAGCAACTATATATGCCCCTCATGATTACTTTAAGAAAAAAATATCCTTCATTGCTGAAAAAGCAAAAGCTATAAAAGCAGAAGTTGTATTAAATATTAAAATATTAAAATAGGCATCCTGTATTATACCTCTCTAGCTTTGTTCTACCTCTGGAAGTCAATACTAGAGGCTTCAGAGGAAGTTACATACCCTTCTGTGGTGCACAGTCATACATTAAGCAGCTTGTGGGAGAAGTTTACTTCCAGACGTCAGTATTCTTAGAAACTGCTGAAATAGGAAATTGATTTTCCCTCATATTTTCTTCCTCGTGATTCATAAAATTGCAGGATGTATTTTTATTATTCTTACACGTACCTTGTTATTTTTGGAACAATAATTATTCTGCTTTCATAATATTTTGTATACATTAGTTTGGAAGGTAATACAGTGTGTAAAAAGTTATTTCCTCAAATAACATATTTCAGAAACTGCTTAAGTATGGTTTCAGGGCAGACATAGGGAAAGTAGGCAATATATTTATTTTTATAAAATGTTTACAACTAAGGAGACATGAGGGGAAAAACATTTTAGGCACTAAGGATTAGGTAATGGAGCAACTATTTCTTTCTGCTTATTAAGTACCAGGAGACTTGTACTAAATAGGTTATATACTAAAGTCTGAGTTACAATACTAGTAGAAGCTGATGCACAGGAAAACCTGAGTTCTGGAAATGCAGAAAAAAGTCACAGTAGCATAAGAGTATTCCACCAAAGACAAAATTAGCCATTTAGCAAACTATGCCTCTGCAACACCAGCCTGATTTGTGTAATTTTCCTCAAGGATCTTTCAATGACTGCTTTATTGTTTTGCATAAAAACAAAGCTTGCCAATTCTAAAGTGTTTAATCAAGATTCACTGTGAAGAGCAAAAGGCTGGGATGGGAGCTGATGAGCCCCGTGCTAGATTCACATTGTTCTCATTTGGTTGAACTGACTATTGAAGTCAGTTTTCAAACTACCTCATCAAACCTCTTTGAGCCTCTCTGCCTTGCTTCTTGCTTGGCACTCCTGCCATTGGCTCTTCTGGCAAACTGATAGTGCTATGTTTGGTGAGAATTCCTTCCCCTGGCCATTCCCAGTGCTGCTCAGATTCAGGAAATCTTGCCGACAAATGAAGGATGAAGGGCGTGAGAAATCATGTCATTCCTCTCTCCTTGCCCCATGACTAGAACATGCCCAGTGGATCAACTGAGAAGAGTTGAAGAGCTTTGCTGCTACTAAGAAAAATTAGAGAAGATACTTCTTGTATGTGGAGTCCTAGAAGTGTTTGCAATCAGTGTGAAGTTTGCAATCAAGTGTAGAATCAAGAGAGATTTCCATCAACTCAGGCTATATTAGCTACTTCAAGAAGTCTGAGTCACTAAAGCATAAAATGTCAAACAAAAGAATGTATGTAGGAGTTAGAATAGTGAAAAACCATGACTTTCTTTAAGAACTAAGGTAAAACAGAGACTGGCAAACTAACCAACACACATGTAAACTTCAAAGTATCTTGAGACTCATTTTATTTGTTTTATTAGGAGAAAATAATGACCTACAAAAAAGGCAGAGAAATCCAGTTACTTAATGTAGCAATTAGTAATAGTCAGTAATGTAGTAATTAGGAACATATTTTGTTAGAGCAACAAGGAATAAAGTAGGGATAAAAGAGGTAAAAGACCAGATAAAACCTGAAATTTTTGCTGAACAAGCTTATTTAGACTTATAAAGAGTACAGCAAATACCTTATTATACAGAACATCAAAGAGGATTTCCCAACCTCACCTCTAATGATTCATATTGATAATGAGTGAAACTTTCTACATCATCAGATGCATGTAAAGCTGCATTTCCTGATAGTCAATAACCACAATACAAGTTTAACAAAGAAGTGTAATTCTCTGTGTTTGGTGCATGAGACCAGTACAATTAGGCATACTAGCATACGACTTTGTGATCTTCTAAACTGATAACAAGACCAAGACAAATTAAACTGTGGAAAAGAAGGGTCAAGCATGCGCTCAGTTCATTTGGGTAGTGTAGATGCAGCTGAAATGCTCTTGGAGCATGCAGGCACTGAAGCTGCAGTTCTTCAGACTGAGACACTTTGATTCAGCAATGAATCAAGTAACACCTTGTGGGTTACCTGTGTGAGAGAATGTGCAAAGGGTAAGAACTGTAACTCTGGAGGTGGAAGAGGCTGAGTTTGAATACTTCAGAAGCAGATCTCAATTCTCAGTCTTGTTGCAATATGCAAAAGTGTCCAAGAGCTGCCTTTTTCCTCTGAAACCTACAGTAAATAGTTTTGTCATTGTTACAGCAGCATATGGTATCCTCTGATTGGTGCTGCTGATTGAAACATTTGATTTGATGGTGTTTTGGGAATGCCCTTGTCACCTCCTTAAAGATCAAAGCAGAGCAGCAAAGATTGCTAGCAGAAGCACTTGTCACTTTTCTTCTTGAAACCCTTGTGGAGTGGAACAAACATCCAAGATAAAGAGATGTTGAGATCATTGATAATTTACTGCAATAAGCTGTATTTGATTTGTGTTGAGTTTATATTAGCAATTGTTTTAGAGATGGGAGTTCTGGGAAGATCATGATATGCCTAGTAATAATTTGTTAATTTATAATAATTATGAATATACACCTTTGATCCTATAATTGTTTCTTACAACTTCTGTTGAGAAGGTTGTAATTAGAAATATTCAAAATATTGAGTACAAAATGGAGGCTATGGTAGATATCCATATTCCCTCAAAACAGTGCATAAATTGTTTTGTATACATTTCTATTTAACATACC